AAGAATACACATGACTCTTAGAATACTCATAACTCGTGTGTAGACAATGTCTGCTTATCCCGGAGTTCAGCTTTAAGTAAGCTTGTTATTATTAATAATACCAATATCTGCAATAGAATTTGTGCCCCTTTAAGTCATAGGTAGATAACCAGATCCTTGTCAGCTGCTGTGGAACTATAAGGACCAGCATGTCCCAGACTGTGTCAGATATGCAACACACTTCAGAAAACGATTAAGGCCATGCTGGAAAATATATATACCATCACAGAGTGCAGCCAGCCTCTCTTCCATCACTGGTAACCTATCCTCCCACGTATGTCCAGCTTGACTTAGTGTCCCGGAATTCAAAGGAAATTTGCAGGTTGAAACATCTGCCCCAGAAAATGTTTGTGAATTCTTCTGTATTTTCGATCCCATCTTAAAGTGGAACTACGGACAAAATAAGAATGATCTATAAGATACAGCGGGGCCTCGATAAACTATTCATGGCGCCCGGAACACTGATGGCACCAAATAGTTGTTCAAGCCGAAGGGTTTAAACGGAAAGATGCGACTAGTGCACCAAGTGTGTGCGACATGTCGCATAAAAGGCGCGCGATCTGCGCCCAATAAATAATTTGTCTTTTTAACGATCTTTGGCGCAGTGGAGGTGCGAAGTATTGGATGACGCAATACAGTGAAGTTTATGGTTTCTGCACCTAATACACTATACGTGCCAGAAAATAATGATTTGATATGAAATGCAGCGCGCCACAGTCAGCATTCTGCTACAACCGCCAATCAGAGCTCCTCGGGCCCCTGTCTGTCACTACCATTAACCCGAGTGCTGAATGCTATTTGTGATGCTTGTGCCATAGGGAGACATTTGTAACAAGCAATCATCTAGCCATTTTAGTAGCAGAATTGAGGTACTAAATCGCACCATACACTGGTCAGATTTCAGAAAAGTCCTTTAGTCGGCTGAAATTCAACCAGCTTGTGGCCCTGTTGGGAACCAATCAGCTGCAGTCATTAATCGGGTATGAACTAACAGGGGGGAATTTATCAAAACTGGAGCAGAGAGAATATTAAGCAGTTGCCCATAGCAACCAATCAGCTTCTCATACAGTCTGTTTAGTCAAGCTTTGAAAATGAAAGACAGAAGCTGATTGGTTGCCATGCACAGCTGCTCCAGATTCTGTGCTCCAGTTTTGATAAATTCCCTTTAAAGTGTAGAGCGCCTGTGTGGCTGTAGCCCAAAGGGGGAGGCAACCTCGGCCCTCCAGTTGTTGTGGGACTCCAAGTCCCATGAGGCATTGCAAAACTCTGACAGCAACAGACATGGCTCTCAGAGACAGAGGCATGCTGGGATTTGTATTTTCACCGCAGCTGGAGTGCCGAGGTTGCCTACTTCTGCTCTAGCCATTTTAGGTACCTACTAGCACATGGTTCCTTCTCTTACTAGCGAGAGAAAATCATCTGAGTGACCCTAGGGCTACACAGCAGTTGTGTTTGCCTATGCCCCCCCCCCATAACATAGTTTTATTACCTGTTGATCCTACCAGTAGATCCCTACTTTAACAGGGTGACAACGCCGTTCGGTCTGCAGTGAAATCGGACAATAACATTGTCATCCTGTGGATTGGAGTAGTCTTGGACATGTAGTTTTAAATTCACCTAGGTAAGCGACAGGTGACCGTGCTGACCAGTGAGTACTGACCAGTGACTGCTGACCAGTGACTGCTGACCAATGACTGCTGACCAATGACTGCTGACCAATGACTGCTGACCAATGACTGCTGACTGTTTGCAAATTAAAAATACCACGCGCAGAGCTGCGCTACTGTGTTCGGTGTACAGGTCCTACACCGGCGGCAGTGGAGGGGGCACTTTGGTGGGGTAATTCCATTTTCCTAAATTTGCCTGGGAAAGTGGAATTACCCTTTAAGCTCGAAGTAAAACATAGATAAGGTCATGAGAATTAAAAAAAAGGAATTGATATACAGAATCGTATCATTCCAGGTTGTATCCACATACCAGTGTACGATATGTTCACTATCACATATTATAGACTAAAAAGTCTCTGATAAATCCTCTCCAGATACATAGTTAAAATAGGACAGACGGGATCTTCCGCCCCTCTGATTGGTTGACATTTCTTATCAAGGCAGCGCAGTCCCAGGAAAGCGAGGGATCAGAAACAATGTCATTTTGTGTAAGACGCTGACCAGTTAAATCACTCTTCATCATCATGTTATACCTACCCAGCTGTGACTCTGTTTGCCCAGTCGCCATGGCTTTTCTACGCATGGTTCGCTTTTTGCCTTCATTTATGTGCTTTATGCAGAATGCAGCAGGAGGAGTGAGACTCCAAAGTGCTGAAGCAGAGCTAGTAAAACGAACTCTTTATCCTCTGGCAAAAACCCAAGTATAGGTCTGGGGTAGGCAACCTCGGCACTCCAGCTGTTGTGGAACTACAGGTCCCATGAGGCATTGCAAGGTAGACAGTCACAGGCATGGCTCCCAGTGGCAGAGGGGAACATCTGAAGTGCCGAGGTTGCCTTCCCCTGGTATATGTGTTGGGTGGACTGACACTTTAAGTACGATCTGACTGTTTTTATATTGTCTAACCCACCGTGATTTTGTACTAGCGAACTGTCCTTGCAGAGCATTATGGGATGTAGAACCCTTCATTATTTGTTTATTTACCACCACATTGTAACGTCTGTGTCTTAGAATAAACACCCATTGACACTGTCCTGAATCTCTGTAGCTGTGTGTATTGACTGGGTGCAGCCGGAGAGACCTACATGTAACAATGACCCCCCATCACTGTACTGTGTCCAATTATTGTCAGAGCTTCCTATAGAAATCACAAGAGAACTGAGACGACCAATGCTGTGGACATGAGGAACTCCATCTCTAGGGGGCTAGGTTAACTTTAGGTGACTGGGTTCCTTAGAAAGTTTCAGCTAGGACTGTGAACATCTGAACCATAGTGGGCAAGATTGTAAACTGATTTCCAGGGCTGCTTTGTAGAGCGAGAGTATCCATGCCTTTCATGTTGTCATATAAACACTGCAGAGTACTATAGATCCCTCACAGTATGTTCATGGAATTGGTATATAAGTACATTTTCTACATTGATCTTTAATGGATATAAACTTAAAGTATTATAGATCTTAAACACACTGGGGGGAATTAAATAAAACTGGAGCAAACAAAATGTGGAGCAGATTTGCACTGCAACCAATCAGCTTCTCTGTCTCATTTTTAAAACTTACCTGAGCAAACTGAAGAGAGATGCTGATGGGTTGCCATGGGCAACTGCTCCAGATTTTGTCTGCTCCAGTTTTGATCAATTCCCCTTAAAGTGTATTACATTTGTGAGTGTGTCAATGTTCTGTGTTTTTATGCCTGCTCTGTTGTTTTTAATCAAAATAAACTTAAATTTTTATATATCTCTATACAATATATACAATATCTTTAATTACTATAGACCGCTACACAATATATATGTATAATTTCTATATATCTCTATATAATATATAAAATATCTTTAATTACTATAGATCTATATATAATTACTATATATCTCTATACAATCTATATATTTTTTATATATCTAACTACAAGAGGTTTATTAAATTGGCGTATACATTCTTTATATTTGTAAGCCTGCTCTTTAATAGATGTAAACATAAGTACTATGGGTCTTATTATAATATGTTTTGTTAATTAGTGTATGAGTATATTTCTTTATTTGTAAGTCTGCTCTTTAGTGGATAATTACATAAGTACTATAGATCTTATTATAATATGTTTTGTTAATTAGTTTATATTTATGTATTTGATCTTTATAGATGTTAACTTAGATACTATAGAATTGTATTATAACATGTTTTTGTTATTAAGTAAATCGGTATATTTATTATATCTTTAAGCCTTCCCTTTATCGGATATTATCTTAGGTACTATAGATCTTATTATCATCTTTTGTTAATTAGTTTATATCTATTATATATGTAAGCTTGCTCTTTAATAGATATTAACTAAGGTGCTATAGATCTAATTATAATATGTTTTGTTAATAAGTGTGTGTATTGTATATTTTTAAGCTTGCTCTTTATGAGATTGAAAGAACTGTAGATCTGTATTTTCTTTATTAAGTGGGTGTATATGTGTAATTTTATATATTTTGCACGCTTCACATATAGATATAACCTTAAAGATCCCTAGACCTTAATATACAATAATAACAGACAAGAACTGAAAGAAAGGATCTGATGATGGAATCAGATAGTTTTGATTACCAACAACAGTCAGTCTTGTCAATTAAACAGGTTTAATTCTTATGTAGATAAACACATAGCGGCCAATCAGATTGCATCTTGCCAGTTTGACTTCGGCAGACTGAATGCTGATTGGTTGCTACGGGTTATTATTACAGGATTAACACTTGGCAACAGGAACTTTTTATTGAACAAAAGCTGAGTATGTTCCAAGGACAGATCTTCTAAGTTTGATCAGTTGAACAATTAGAATCTACAACTTTGTTTTGTTAGGATCAGTGTCCTCCCCAATGTCCTCCCCAATGTCTTCCCCAGTGTCTCCCCCAATGTCCTCCCCAGTGTCTCCCCCAATGTCCTCCCCAGTGTCTTCCCCAATGTCCTCCCCTCCACATCTTTCCCTGGGTGGGTTAGGTAAATATCAGTGTATACAATGTAGCATTTTCTAAAGCAATTGAGGACACCACCTTCAGATGGAGAATGTTGTGGTCTGTGGACCACCAAGGATGTTCTGGGTTTGATTTGCCGAGTTTGGCCAACTTGACATCAAAGTGTCCCTAGAAGTCATTTAATGTTGGCATGTAGGCATCTGTTGCATTACTGAGCTTTCGCTGATGATCATAAAGAGTTCAGATCATTTTCAGTTCCTGCAAGCCCAGGCTAAGCAGATGCCAAGGATGCCAATTGTCACATAAGACCGGTAAAGGATAGGGAAGAAGAAGACAGACTTACAGTTCCGTCTGGATCTGTGTGGGATTCTTAGTAGCCAGATGACATCCAGATGAGTGAAGTCTTGGGATTTGCAGAGGTGAACGTTCCTCCTCCGCACTTCACACCTCCTCTCCGTCCTGCAAAACTTTTCTGAGCAGCTTTTGTCCTCTCAGACTTTTCTGGATTCTTTTCATTAAAGTTTTCACTCTGTCTAAACTTTTCTTTTTTTTCCTCCTCCAGCCCCTCCTTGCCGTGTCCTGCTCTTTGCTAGTCTCCTTCCCTGGCTCAGTCTTTCTGGCTGGGGAAGTGATAGTTTAGCTATTCCTATGCTGTGTGCCTGGGGCAATGAAGGCGTCACCAGTATAGAGGCAGGACTAAGCTTCCCTCCAGTGTTTCCTAGCCAGCTATTGGCCTGAATTAACCCCCCTGTGTCCTACACCTCTCCTCCCACCTACACCTTTTTCATTGACCCTGTACCTTTAGCTGGTCCAGAGATGCTGCCTCTGCAGATCTCCCATCTGCAACCTTTTTCCTAGCTTGTAGTTTGCGCAGGGTGACCTACACGTGCCAGACTGCAGGAATAGATATGGATATTGATTATTCTTATCTGCTAAAACTATCACACAGACGGTGAACTTTAACTCAAGCCGCCTGCAAAGATTAGTTGGCAGCCCGATTGTTCAGATTATTGTACAAACATGCAAGTTTGCATTGGGCAAATGTGCATATTTGTGTTTATGAAAGGAGCACCACGGTGGCGCTGACCTATGTCAGAGGAAAAAGGTGCAGAAAAACAGGGAAAAAATTCATCTCAGGAAAAATTAAAGAGGAACCTCACCCCCCTTGTTTTCTTTCCTATCCTCTTACCTGGCTTGTTCAGCTGCGTTCTGCTGCCACAGTCGGGGTCCCGCGCCACCATGCTCCTTTCTGACGTCATCCGGAGCCAGCCTGGGTTCAAAGATGCAGTGCCAGGTCCACCCTCCGGCTGTGGGAGCAGGACATATCATTCTCGCCAAGGTAAAATCAGTATATCAGCTTTTTTTTAAGCTTGCAGAACGGAAAAGACAATTTCTGCAATGAACGTCCGCTTTAAATTTCTCCCCAACAGGCTCGGCCAGGATTGTGGAGGTGACCACAAACATGCAAATTCTCTCCAGTGTCCCCTCCTTTTTAGATTGTAAGCTCTTACGGGCAGGGCCCTCCTAACCCTCTTGGCTTGGAGAGAACTGTGCTGTAGCTGTACTGTCTCCCTTTATATTGTAAAGCGCTTCACAGACTGTTGGCACTATGTAGATCCTGTATAATAATAATGAGGGTTGCCTTCATATCGTTGTACACCTGTTTCAATATTTGTTCATTCTTTAAAGTAGTATTAAACTTTCAACCTTTTTTTCTCAATAATGAATCCAGATCAAACAAATATACATTGCAGAGCAAAGTATTTCGTTACATTTTTTCAAGCACTTACAGTCATCATGTTTCTGAACAGCTCCAACTCTCTCAGCTCGGCATCCTTGAACTTCCTGTCCAGTACAAGATCACAAGGCACAGAGCCGACTCCAGCAGCTGTCCATCTACTAGCTTGGAGAACGGAAGAGGGGAGTGGGTTACCTTGCTGTGCCTGAGTGTTTCGTGGGGGGACAAGCAGCTTACAAGCACACACAAGGGTGGCTCCATAAGGAGCCACCCTAAAACCAGATATCAGGGTCAGTGCTCTGGGGACCAGCTGATTCTGCAGGAAACAATGAGAAGCAGCATCCACTGTAATACGGAATTTCAGAAATACAGTATTGGGGAGCTCAGTAGTCTGATGGCCAAAATTAGCAGTTTGTAAGTTGGAATAAAAGGCTTTATGAGCCTGCGGTTCTGGATGTACGATGTCCAGAAAGGGTAGATTGTTAGGGCCCCGCCCACTGATTAAAGCCCTTATATTTTAAAGTAGTATTAAACCCTCAAACTGTTTTAAAAAAATGAATCCAGGTCAAACAAATATAAAGTTTACTAGCACACACAAGGGTGTCTCCATAGGACCCTGCGAGGGAAAGGAGCCACCCTAAAACTGGATTTCAGGACCAGGGCTCAGGGGACACGCTGATTCTGCAGGAACCTACAACTTTGAAACATCAAGAAGCAGCATCCATTGTAAGTGATTTCATCAGCATCTGAAATAGGTTGGGAACCTTTTGACTTTGATATAATTTTTTTACATAGGAAGTAATGAGAAGTGCTGCTCACTGTAGACATCATGGAACGGAGGCGCAAACATGATCTGTCTTTTAGTGCCTGCAGGTACTACATCTCTTTGAAATTGGAACACAGTGCTCTCCCGAGCAGTCTTGTTTAGTCTATGGAGAAAGGATATAAAGGCAATCCTGGCAACGGCATGTCTGCATGGGAGTAACAGCAATCAGAAAGGGGTTTTTAAGCCGGTCTGACCTTTTGTTCAGCAAGAACGGTCATTCAGAGCTGTCGGTTCCTGTCCCATAGATATTTGATTAGCATCAGCAGATTAGCCTCTAATGTCTATGGCAGGGGTGGGCAACTCCGGCTCTCCAGCTGTTGTGGAACTACAAGCCCCATGAGGCATTGCAAGACTGACAGTTACAGGCATGACTCCCAGAGGCAGAGGCATGTTGGGATCTGTAAGCCCACCCGTGGCCTACAGGCACCTTAATACTAGGGATGCACCGATACCAGTTTTTCGGTATCGAGTACGAGTACCAATATTTGTTTTATCAGTACTCGCTGATACCGATACTGGAAGTCCCATTAAGGAAGCCAGGGGGCGTGTAAGGACTAACCACCTGGCTTCCTGATTAGCCGGTAAGCCGGCCGGCGTATAAAGATTCACCACCCGGCTTCCCGATTAGCAGGGAAGCCTTCTCCATTCTCCCTCGTCACCAAGTGATGAGGAAGCATGAAGCCGGCTGCTCAAACTTTCTCTGTTAAGTTATTTACATTGTACATATGTGATAGTGCTGGGAAATCATGTGGGGTGATATCTCCAGCCCTTTCGGCATTCACGTATAACGGAGTTATTAGTAGGTATGTGCCGATACCAAGTATTTGGGCTAGTACTCATACTCACCCAAATGCTACAATACCTTCCCCGATACAGGAACTTCCGGTCAGAGGGAGATTTCCTCTGGCCGACAGTGCCGTAGGGGAACATGGAGCCAGCTTCCCGTGCGATCAGGAAGCTGGGCGGAAGCCAGCTCCATGCTGTTTGGCCGGGAAGCCGGCCTCCCAGCCAATTAGCATCGAATCAGCTTCCTGGCCAATCAGGAAGCTGGGAGGCGGGTCATTACTCGCCGTCTGGCTTCCTGATTCGCTGGGAAGCCGGTTTCCAGGCCAAGCTCAATCAAGCAGGTTAGACAACATGGAGCCAACTTTTCAGGCAATCAGATTACCCGAGAAGCTGGCTCCGTGGCAGCGGAAGAACCAATATTAGTACTCGGTATCGACAAGTACAGAAAGCAAAGTATCGCTACTCGATACCGGAAAAACGGTATCGGTGCATCCCTAGTTATTAGTATTAGTGGACTCATCCTTTAAGTTGTAAATACCTGTAAGCCTTGTTCTTTGCACAGTATAAAAATACTGCTTATGCCCCTCCTGCCTTTTTGTGCTCCAGTATGTCCCAGTTGTGAGTTCCCGGGCCCTGCTGGTTAATCAGTGTTAGGATAGGCCTTTGTGCTAGTTGGATGATTCCTTTCCAATCAGCCTGCTGGAAAGCAGAAGCTAGCCCCCAACACACCGTGTAAAGAACAACTTGAGGCCATGCTGCTGTCTAGGCGTGTTGCTTTTGCTGCTGTATATAATAGGCTGAAGAACACATTGACATTAGTGAAATGGCTTTTTAACACTATAATTGACAGTCATTTCAGATAGTACTAAAAAAAAAAAAAAGGGTTTCCTTGAAGCCGTAGTAGCTGCAAGTTTTGAAACGTTTACCTATCTGTGACCATCCTACGCCTAAAGGTGCCTTAATTTGAGGCCCTGCTAAAGCTGAACTCTGTGCAGATAAAAAAAAGGCACACATGAATGCAGCTCTGCTTTTATTAATACATCATTAAATGTACACAGGCAATGTAAGCACCAGGATTTGACTTGGTTTTGGCCTCTTGTAGTCTCTGTACAGGTGTTTTAAGACTGGGAGAGGGAGAAGCAGTAGAAGGAGTCAGTCAGGTGTGCAGCAGTGCTCATGTGCCAACAAGCATGCTGATAGGAGCAGAGAGCAGAATGACAGAGAGATGAGCTTATACTGTCCTGTCACAGCCCTGGGTAGGGACATGAGCTGTAAGTGCTACTTAATGGCAGCAGAGAAAAATCAGGTCTCCTGCCCTGCCAGAGAGGGCTGTGCTACGTGGCAGAGCTGTGTAAATCCCTGGACTGGGTCAACAAATACAAATCATTTGCCAGGTGAAACTCGAATAATTAGAATATCGTGCAAAAGTAATTGCAGTAAGTGCTGCAAAAGGGGCCCAAACCAAGTTCTGAGTACATATGCATGCTTGTACTTTTCAGAGGTCCGATATTGTTCTATGTACAATCCTTGTTTTATTGATTGCATGTAATAATCTACTTTTTTGAGATTATGGATTTGGGGTTCTTGGGGTTTTCATGAGCTGTAAGCCATAATCATCACAAGTATGACAAATCACGGCTTGAATTATCTTGCTTTGCATGTAATGAGTCTATCTCATATATTAGTTTCACCTTTTAAGTTGCATTAGTGAAATAAATGAACTTTGCACGATATTCTAATTATTCGAGTTTCACCTGTATATGTATTTCATCTGTGTATGGAAAGGTTGTCTTGGAGTTCAGCTTTAGTATGTATATGACATTACAGGTTATTTCCAGTTAGGTTTTGGAGAAGAACTCCACGAATTTGAAAAGTTAACCCTTACAGTTGGGCTACCCCTGCACTGCAAGGGTTAACTGCTCACTTCTCTCTAGGGGTGATAATACAAAAGATATACTCACCTGATCCTCGTTCCTGCGGCGGTGACTGATCTGTGGTATGTTCCACCCTGTATAAGACGTGATGATGTCATGGATCCTTAAGGTCCCCACACACCTTACGATAATCGCGGGAAATCCCGCGATCGTACGATTATCGTAAGGTGTGTGGAAGCCGTGCGACCTCTACTACTGTAAGGTCGCACAACTTTAAACTTACGAACATGTTTCAAAACCCGCCGAGCATCGTACAATGTTCGGCGGGTGTGTAGCATGTTCGTGAGATAAAAGCCGGACGGGCCGGTGTGCGCAAGCGCACACTGCCCGTTCGGCATTGCGGTCATCGGAAGCCCGCCCC